AGGATATTTCAGGAGCAAAGTAATCTAAGGTACATATTTGGAAAATTATATAATCCCTGGATTTAAAAAAAAAAGTAATATCTGAACATTTTGCCTTGCTGTGATGAAAAGTCTCCATGAACGCCTTATCAGGAAAATGAAAGGTCTCTCTAAGAGCGAATAGTTAGTAAGAAAACAGTTTTGTAGAGAGGCATTAAATTCTCAATTTGTTATGCATTGCAATACATAATTTCCAAAGACCTATTTTATGGAAATGAATATGAAAGTTTAAAGAATTTTGCCAATGTTTCTTGTGCCTTTTATGACACCACCATTTTCTGGGTTCTACTCTTAAGATACCATTAATGTGCCCTAAGAACATTTTCAGCTGCCAGAAGGAAAGAGGAGAAAGAAACTGAGAGAATAGCAGCATTGACAGCAATGGATGAGAAAAGTACATACATGAAAGAGACAAGTCAGTCACAGGAGAAACTAGCGGGCTGGAGAACAGTTTTCATTAGGCAAAGGATATCCAGCAAATATAGACAGCTGATCAAAAATAACATAATGTGGCATTGTTGTTGTTGTTTGGTGCCATCCAGTCAGTTCCGACTCATAGCTACCTTACATACAACAGAACGAAACACTGCCCGGACCTGTGTCCTTCTCACAATCATTCCTATGTTTGAGCCCATTGTTCCTGCCACTGTGTCAATCCATTTTGTTAAGGGTCTGCCTCTTTTTCGCTGACCCTCTACTTTACCAAGCATGATGTCCTCCTCCAGGGACTGGTCCCTCCTGATAACGTGTCCAAAGTATGTGAGATGAAGTCTCACTATCCTTGCTTCTAAGGAGCACTCTGGCTGTACTTCTTCCAAGACAGATTTGTTCGTTCTTCTGGAAGTCCACGGTATATTCAATATTCTTTGCCAACACCATAATTCAAAGACATCAATTCTTCTTCGGTCTTCCTTATTCATTGTCCAACTTTCATATGCATATCAGGCGACTGAACATATCATGGCTTGGGACAGGCGCATCTTAGTCCTCAAAGTGACATCTTTGCTTTTTAACACTTTAAAGACGTATTTTGCAGCACATCTGCCCAACACAATATGCCATTTGATTTCTTGACTGCTGCTTCCATGGGCAATGATTGTGGATCCAAGTAAAATGAAATCCTTGACAACTTCATATCTTTTCTTCGTTTATCATGATATTGTTTATTGGTCCAGTCGTGAGGATTTTTGTTTTCTTATGTTTAGGTGTAAAACTGAAGGCTGTAGTCTTTGATCTTCATCAGTAACTGTGTCAAGTCCTCTTCACTTTCAGCAAGCAAGGTTGTGTCATCTGCATATTACAGGTTGTTAATGAGTCTTCCTCCAATCCTGACACCATGTTCTTCTTCATATAGTCCAGCTTCTCAGATTATTTGCTCAGCATACAGATTGAATAAGTATGGTGAAAGGATACAACCCTGACGCACACATTTCCTGACTTTAAACCACACAGTATCCCCTTGTTCCATTTGAAGGACTGCCTCTGGGTGTATGTACAAGCTCTCCACGAGCACAGTTAAGTGTTCTGGATTCCCATTCTTTGCAATGTTATCCACAATTTGTTATGATCCACACAGTCAAATGCCTTTGCATAGTCAATAAAACACAAGTAAACACTTTTTGGTATTCTCTGTTTTCAGCCAAGATCTATCTGAAATCAGTAATGATATTCCTTGTTCCACGTCCTCTTCTGAATTTGGCTTGAATTTCTGGCAGTTCCCTGTCAATGTACTGCTGCAACCGCTTTTGAATTATCTTCAGTATAATTTTACTTGCATGTGATATTAATGATATTATTTGATAATTTCCACATTCTATTGGATCACTTTTCTTTGGAATGGGCACAAATATGGATCTCTTCCAGTCGGCTGGCCAAGACTTCCAAATTTCTTGGCACAGATGAGTGAGTGCTTCCAGCCTTGCATAAGTTTGTTGAAGCATCTCAGTTTGGTATTCCATCAATTCCTGTAGCCTTGTTTTTCACTAATGCCTTTAGTGCAGCTTGAACTTCTTCCTTCAGTACCATAGGTTATCATATGCTGCCTCCTGACCAATTCTTTTTGGTACAGTGACTCTGTATATTCCTTCCATCTTCTTTTGATGTTTCCTGCTTCCTTTAATATTTTACTCATAGAATCCTTCAATATTGCAACTTGAGACTTGAATTTTTTCTTCAGTTCTTTCAGTTTGAGCAACGCTGACAGTGTTCTTCCTTTTTGGTTTTGTAACTTAAGGTCTTTGTACATGTCATTATAATACTTTGTCTTCTTGAGCAGCCCTTTGAAATCTTCTGGTTAGTTCCTTTACTTCATCATTTCTTCCATTTGCTTTAGCTACTTTACCTTCAAGAGCAAGTTTCAGCATCTCTTCTGACATCCATCCATTTCAGTCTTTTATTTCCTTTCTTTTTAATGACCTGTTGTTTTCTTCACGTATGATGTCCTTGATGTCATCCCACAACTTGTCTGGTCTTTGGTCTTTAGCATTCAATGCATCAGATCTATTCTAGAGATGTTCTCTAAGTTCAGTAGAGTGGACCTTAATGATGTGGATGGAGTAAAGCTTTTGGGACCTTCATTTGCTGATGTGGCACAATTCAAAATGAGAAGAAACAGTTGCAAATATATGTTAATAATCAGAACGTGGAATGTACAAAGTATGAATCTAGGAAAATTGGAAGTCATCAAAAATGAAATGGAACACATAAAAATCGATATCCTAGGCATTAGTGTGCTGAAACGGGCTGCTATTGGCCATTTTGAATCAGACAATCATGTGGTCTACTGTGCCAGGAACGACAAATTGAAGAGGTAAGGTGTTGCATTCACTGTCAAAGAGAATATTTCAAGATCTATCCTGAAGCACAATGCTGTCAGTGGTAGATAATATCCATGTCTACAAGGAAGACCAGTTAATTCAACTATTATTTAAATTTATGCACAGACCACTAGGCCAAAGATGAAGAATTTAAAGATTTCTATCAACTTCTGCAGTCTTAAATTGATCAAATATGCAATCAAGATGCATTGATCATTACTGGTGATTGGAATGAGAAAGTTGAAAACAAAGAAAAACAATCAGTAACTGGAAAATATGGCTTTGGTGATAGGAATGACACTGGAGATTGCCTGATAGAATTTTGTAAGACCAACTACCTATCCATTGGAAATGCCTTTTTTCAACAACATAAACAGCGACTATACACATGGACCTTACCAGATAGAATATACAGGAATAAAATCAACTACATCTATGGAAAGAGATCATGGAGATGTTAAATATTATCAGTCACAACAAGGCCAGGGGCTGACTGTGGAACAGACTTATCAATTGCTTGTATGCAAATTGAAGTTGAAGGTGAAGAAAAACAAAACAAGTTCATGAGAGCAAAAGTGCAACCTTGAGTATATCCCACCTGAATGCAGAAACCACCTCAAGAATAAATTTGATGCATTGACCACTAATGTGGCATAGCAGTCTTAAAATGTCGATAAAACTTTCCAATGTAAAGTTAATGTTAGGCAAAGATTTGGAATTGTCTGAATTGCTAAATAGTGAAACTTAATTCGATCAATTTATCATAACTGCCATGGCATCGTAGTTTCCTAGTGCTGGTGTAATAGAAGTACCATTGATGAGTGGTTTTAAAGAACAGAAATTTATTGTCTCTCAGTATAGCAGGCTAGAAGTCTGAATGCAGGCACCGGCTCTAGGGAAAGGCTCTCTCTCTCTCTGTTGGCTCTGGGGGAAGATCCTTGTCTCATTCAGCTTCTGCAGCCAGGGCATTCCTTGGTTCCTTGGAGATCTTCTCAAGGCATCTATCTTCCCTCCTCCTTGTGCTTGCTTGCCTCTGTGTCTAATCTGCTCTTTTTATAATTTGGAAGTGATTAGGCTTAGGATACCCCCTACACTGACATGGTCTCAGTAACATAACAAAGAAAACCCTATTCTCAAACAGTATTACATGCACAGGTATGTGATTCCAACACATACTTTTGGGGGACACAAGTCAATCCATAAAATATGGTTAATACGTACGTGATTTAAAAAAAGAGAAGTGACTAATATCTGGAAAGAAGTGGTACTTGTTTATATATCTGGAAAGAATTTTTCTATCTGTGGCAGTTCTCAAACTTTAGTGTGGCTAAGAGTTGTTGGGATGCTTGCCAAAATGTAAATTCCCAGGCCCCTTTCCAGGAGATCTCAATTTAGCAGTTCTAGAGCAGGGTTAGGAGCCCTGGTGGCACAGTGGTTAAGTGCTCAGCTGCTAGTCAAAAGATCAAGGGTTCAAACCACCAGCTGCTCCGCAAGAGAAAGATGTGGCAGTCTGCTTCATAAAGATTACAGCCTTGGAAACATTATGGGGCAGTTCTACTCTGTCCTATAGGGTCGCTATGAGTCAGAATTGATTCCATGGCAACAGTTTTTGGGTTTTAGGGTGGGGTTTCTCAATCTTGGCATTACTGGTATTTTGGGTGGGATCATGCTTTGCTATAGAGGGCTGTTCTGTGCACTGTAGGATGGTTAGCAGCATTCTAGGCCTCTATCCAGTTATGGCAGACAAACCCTGTGGTGACCCCCTAATGATCCCCATCTTCCGGTGTTCACACTTTTGTGTAATCCCCTTCCCTTGAGTGTGAGCTGGACCTGTGGCTTGCTTCTGACCAACAGAAGGTGATGGGATGTAACTCTTGTGATTATGTTAAATTACAAATAAGACTCCATCTTGCTAGAGCTTCTCCTTGATGGCTTGTTTAAATAAGCGACCATGTTGAGGAAATCCACGTGGCAAAGAGCCAAAGGTGGTCTCTAAGGAACGGGGCAGGAGTGGGGGGGAGGGGAGGGGCTTCGGGCCAACAGCCGGCAAGATCCACCTAGGTAGAACTCCTGGCTAGAACTTTAAGTAGCACAACTTTGGGCAAGGTTCCTAACATCTCTGATTTATCATTTCATTATCTATAGCCAAAAGGAAACGAATGCCGCCAACAACCTGAGTGAACTTGGAAGCAGATTCTCACCAGTTGAATTTTTAGATGAAAACCCAACCCAGTGACACCTTGATGGCAGCCCTGGGAGACCCTAAGCAGAGTATCCAGTCATGCCATGCCCCGACTCCTGAACCCACAGAAACTGTGAGACAAAAAATGTGCGCTGTTTTAAGCTGCTAAGGTTGTGGGAATTTTGTTATGTAGCAGTAAGAAACCAATACACCATTAGGTGCCAGGAGCACATACTCAGCTGACACCAAAAATGTCTCCAGACATTGCCAAATGTCCCCTGGTGGGGCAAAATCGCCCCTAGTTGAGAACCACTCCTCCAGGGCAGGGTTTCTCAACCAGGGTACTATGACATTTTGGACCAGATAATTCTTTGTTTTGGGTAGGGTGGAGCTGCCCTGTGCATTGTAAAATGTTTAGCAGCTTTCCAGGCTCACTAGATGCCAGTACCACACACCCAAGTCAAGTTTCCAAACATTGCCAAAAGTTCCCTGGATGCAAAATCACCCTCCTCTTTTAAAATCCACTAGTCTAGGGTAAAGCCTAGGGACCTGCATTTCTAATAAGAACACCCAGGTGATTTGGGAGAAATGAAGTTAGTGGACAATACTTGAAAAACACTAGAGAATGAACAAAACATAAATCAGAGTTTAGGGACTTGGACAACATTTGAAGCAGGATCAGAGAAGAAAATGGAAAGATGGCGGATTGGCGCCGATTCCCAATTAATCTTTCTCAGTGCCTGACTCAAAATAGTCTTTTGAGAAATTGATGGTTTTTATTTTTATTTTTATTAAGCACTCTTCAAATAGATCTTGTCGATTTTAAACATTTAAGAGCAAAATCCTGTGACATAATTTTTTACTGAAAAAATAAAATTATCCATCGTGTTCTGTTTAAAGTTTTAGTTTGTATTATATAGTAACTGGCTAGACTGGTTTAAATCTGAAGTTGCCTGGAAGGCATAAATTATGCCATTATTCATAGAGAAGGTAATATGTAAATGTGAAATTCCATACAATGCAAAAATGTGTTGACTCCGATCACACTGTAGCTTTAAGAAAAGCGTTGACTGTTTCAGGTCACAAAGGCACTATTTAGAGCACAGCAAGTGGGACCATGTGTCCAGCAGGTCACACAGTCATGTGCCTACTCAAAGTGGGCAATTCACACTCTCTCACTGGAAGGATAAAGCCTATGATATTAAAAGAACTAATACTTTCCTTTGCAATAAAAGTGAACACAGCTCTCAGTTATTACCAACCAGACAAACACAGGCGCCCAGTGGCAAATGTCAGTCATTTTCTCCTTAAGAAAGAAGAATCAAACTAACAGACATTTCAGTTCCTCTTTCCTCCCACAATTGAATTTTAAAAAGGTAAAGAAGTATCCTGGCCTCAAGAGTTTAGAATAAAAACTTATAAAGCTTGTACCGCAGAGGAAGCCCTCCAAAATATTTTTCCTGCTCTCATAAGCATAAACTAAGTTGTTGACAAAAAGCTCCTGCAAACGTCTACAAATTAAGTTGATCAAATACAAACAAGGCTAGGCCTAGATCGCGGTCCTTCCCAAATCAGGATGCGCTAACGGAACATTAACTTGGAAACTTTTGCCAAACTAATTTGGATACTTCACCAAATCCCCTCACCTTCAATCAAGGAAACTTTTCTACGTGTCCTTCAGAGTCACGTGAAGTTGCTGCCAGAGCTCAGCATAAATCACATTTCACCTTAACAGGTTTGCTGCCTGGGGACAAGGGGGTGGGGTGGATAATTAAGTTAAGAATCCTGTGGAAAAGGCCCAGGGAGGTCAGCGAGAGACTACCAATTCTAAAGGCTATTTTCTTTTTCCGAAGAGTGCAAGACCAGTAGAGACTGACTCGGTGTCTTTTGAGACTCGAGACTCTGGGAGCTGCACGCAGAGAAAACAAACCTGGGGAACGAAAAGTAGAAGCAAACAAGTTTTTATAGTAACATTGATATTAGTATGCCTTCCCTGGCCTCTTCAATTGTTTTTTCCAAGATATTGAAGTCTGTCATCCAAACCATACCAAATGAGAGGTTAGTTGTTCAACTCCTTTCCCTCAGCGTGTGTCTTCTCACAAGATCCACGTCTCCTCTCGACACTCCCGTTCCCCACAAAATAGAAAGGCTGATAGCCAACTACAGACTGCGGTCCACAGAGGGCAACTCTAGGCAGGGGGCACAGGGCCGTTGCCTAGACGAAAGTCTGACGCCGAGAATCCTAATCTCTCACGTCTGATCTCGCTGGCTATTGTGGCCCTAAGGGGTGGCAGAACAGGTGAGGGCGGCTGGAGGAAACCTGTTTCCGGACAGTCAGGGAGGACGATATGAGGGTGCGGGGAGAGGGAGGGGATGGTCCGATAAGTAAAGGGAAGCGCGCCCCAAGCGCTGTTTCTCTCCCTGGGATCACCTTGCGCTGACCTAGTTGAGCCAGGAAGGAAGGAACCCGAGCGCGAAGAGCGGGCGGGGCGGGGAGAGCGGCGGGCGGGGCCGGGCCGGGGGCGGGGCCGCGAGCGGGATCTTTCGGGTGCTCGCCTTTGATTCGTGGACAGATTCGAGCCGGAAGCGGCCAGGAGGCGGCGGCGGCGGCGGCGGCGCACGTGGTGACGTGCGAGGGGGTGCGGTGCGAGCGGGCAGCGACGGTGGCAGTGTCTCCCGGACGCGCGTGGAGGTCGGACGCTGGGCGCACTTTCTCTTCTTGCTGCTGTGCTAGCGAGCGGTCACGTCCCCGCGAACTCTCGGTGGCGCTCCGCCCTGCTTGCAGCCTCCGAGGACTGGCCGCTCGTCTTCCCGCCCGGTTGCTCCCCTCCCCCCCGCCTCCTCGAGGCGCTTTCCGTTGGGCCGATTCCCGCCTGCTTCCTCCTGCTGCCCATCGAAGCTCCAGAGATGAATTTTTCCATCTCTACAGAGAGGAACCAGGTAATACATGCAGGTTCTACCGACCGCGGAGGAGAGGGCGCTGCCGGAATCCGAGATTAGGGGATGGCGCGGGCTGCCGGGGGAGGGTGGGAGGCGCGGAGCAGTGTCCTGTTCTCGGGGGAAGGGCGCCCCACGCTGACGCCGTCGCCACTTTCTGGGGCGTGGAGCCGGCGCCGCGCGCGCCCCGCGTTCATGGCGCTGCCATGGTTGCTAGGTCGCGTTGGCGGCCGAGGGCTGGCGCTGGCCGCCTGGGAGAGCGCGGGGACTTGTGTCCATTCTTTCCGCGGCGGCAGGGGAAGCAGAGCGGGAGGAACCAGAGGTTTTTGCCTGAGAGGCCCCTTGGGGCTGGGCCAGCTAGGGCGACGTGGGGCTGGGATGACCCGCCGGAAGGAGGGGCGCGGGAATCTCTTGTGACCCGTTGTCAGGGTCGGAAGCCTCGCGTGTCCCTGTGCCCAGGCTCTGGACTCTCTGGGGTGAGATTTCCAAGGAGCCAGCATCAGGGCCACAGCGGTCTCATGGGCCTGGAGCCAGGAGGCACTGCGTCCCCGATCGCCGTGGGCCGCGAGGTCCTTTGTTCCCGCTCCACGTTGCCCGCTTTTCTTGCCAAGCGCGGGGAGAAGGGGGCGGGAGGAGGGAGGGAGCGAACGGCTGCCCTGACGTGTCGGCGCTGAATGACTGCGGGGCCGGCCAATCCCGGCGGAGGTGTGCCGGCGCTGGGCGCCTCGCCTCGCAGCCTTCCGAGGGGGCGCTGGCTGGGTCTCACGGGTGGAAGGCCTGGGGCAGTAGGGCTGGTCAGGCAGTCACTCTGGGGCTCCTGCCACTTTCTTTTTTACTGAAGAAATCGTTGGAGAGGTTTACTGTTTTTCCGCCCTTGCAAGCATTTTGCAGAGGGTCGTGATAGTAGGAAGGTGTCAGGCAGTATCTGAGAGTTGCGCGTTGGCAAACATAAACCACAAATACTTTAGAAATAGTCACTTTTTTTCCTAATATGTAGTCGACAAATCTTTTGGTTTGAAACAACTGATATTTCAGACACTAGTAAGTAGAAATCACGCTTAAAAAGGCGCATTTTTGTTTCCTAATGTGTGTTGTCAGTGATGGAGGATTAGAACACCCGGGTGTCAAGGCTGTTCTTTGAGGACTTGTAATCTGCTATAATGAATGAAGGATGAAGCTCATGGTATTAAAAGAGCTAACGATTTCATTTGCAATAAATGTGAACACTGCTGTCAGTTATTATCAAGACAAGAGCCCAGTAGCAAATGTCAGTCTTTTTCTTTGAAAGCCTAGTTCTGTTGTAACAGTAGAACAAGTACAGCATGGACTAGAGTACCACAGGCCACGTTTTCTTCTACCGATTCTAGCACCAGCGATTGATTTATTTGCTTTATTGTTGTTGTTAGTTGCCCTCTAGTCGATTCTGGCTCATGTAGACCCCATGTGTGCAGAGTAGAACTGGTCGGTAGGGTTTTCAAGGCTGTGACCTTTCAGAAGCAGATCGCTTAGGAATACCAAGATTCTCGTTAATAGTTTAGGCGTAGTCCTGCTGAAGCTACTGCCTTAAAGATGCTGAAGGAGCACCTTGTGTTTGTAAATCTAGAGATTATGAAAACACTGACCATTTAGAATTGAATTGAGACTAGTATCACTTCATGCCAGCAGGCCAGCTACGTATCAGATGTCTGTAATTTGGTAACTGGAGGTAAACCAGATTTGAGCCACTGACCAAGAAGAGACCTGGAATGGTTTTCCTATGAATTGACCTAATAGATGAAATCTCTAGTTAATTAGTAGATATTAATTTCTACAGCTATTGTCTTAATTTGTAGTTCTGTTTTTCTAATTTCAGAAAACAAGGCATTTCAAGTATAAATATAAAATGCTTTCCTATTAGGGAAATATCATAATTATTGGTACAAAGATGACGTACCTCTAAAAATCATTTCATCAGCCTTTTTAACAGTATGATTGTAGTCAAATCCTACAGGTAGGAATTCTTAAAATTTGTGGACCCCTCTCCCCCATGTGTTCTAAAAAGTGTAGCTTGAGGTGGTATGAAAAAGGAAGTGATTTCTAGGTTTCTTAAGAACCACAGAAAATACATTCTTATGTTGACTTGTATAGCTTCAGTTAACCTCCTTGTAAGTGATTTCTAAACCTATACCTAGATCAGTATTCCTTCACTTTTGCTATCATCGTGGTGGTCCTGTAATACAGGTATCTCAGTATTGCAGTGTCCCAAACCAAATTCCTCATTTCCTTGCTTCCTTTCACCATGCAGCAAACTGAAAATGACTGTTTATGCTTCTTCGATTTCTTAATTTTGATATTGATTTTGACAACAATGCTGCACATCAAGCTACAATATCTTAAATCCTCACTGCCTTAGTTAGGTAAGGACTAAGCATGGGTATACAGTATCTTTAATTGCCCTGCTTCTATGTTGTACCCATTCCCCCAAACCATCCTCACCTTTCTGCTTCTGTCCTCTATGCTTCCTTGCTTAAAATCCCTCATCTGCTCTTCCTCCTTAGCATTGTTTAAACCTTAATATTAGTCTCTTGCATCCAAAAATCTGTAATCTTTTAAAACAAGTATTTTCAGTTTATAGAATATGCATGCTATCAAACCTTTCTTCCGTTTTGTTTCAGCTGTTTTCACTGTCTTCCTGGCTGGTCTCTGAAGTGCTCAAGACTGGGGAATTGAGTTAACTTCATTGTATTATGAGTAGACCAGACCAGATTGTGTCTGGCATATGTTTGGTGCCACAGATGTTTGTGGAATGATAGAATTACAAAACCATGGGGTTAAAAGCATGGGGCAAGTGAGTAAGATTGGTGATAGTGGTTTCAAAGGTGACATTGGGAAGCTATTGCTTCTACTTTTAAAAATATCCAGTGGTTTACTTTTGTATTATAAAGTCTTCCCTTTAAAGTGGAGTTGATTGCTACTTCATGTGTATTGACTACCCTCAAAAAGTTGCCCTTAAGTTTAGATAATATTTGTAATTTGGTTAGAGGTTTTAAGGGAGCTTTGAAAGTTTGACGATAACGTTTTATCTTGCTCCTATTGAAGGCCAGAGAAGAATTTTGGGGGAGGAGGTATTATGCCTACCGTTTTTTTGTTTGTTTGTTTGTTTTTTTACAACTCTTTGATGAGACCTGTTGAACTGTATTTCCATTAAAGCTAATCTTTTCATGGGTCTGTGGTGGCTTGTGAACTTTTGAGTATCACTAAGCAGTTTAAGAGCTTGGCTGCTAACCAAAAGTTTGGCAGTTCTGATCCACCAGCCACTCCTTGGAAACCCTGTGAGGCAGCTCTACTCTGTCCTGTAGGGTCTCTATGAGTCGGAATCGACTCGACGGCAGTAGGTTTGGTTTTTAGTTTTTAGGCAGTTTAATTACTCATTAAACTTCTGTCTCCCTTTTTGCACTGACGATCATAAGGAGCTGAAATACAGTGTGTTTATCAGACTACATCGTATTTCGTCCCATTTTTTTATTTTAAAAGTGGATCAGTTGAATGTATACTTTAAATACCAAACTTATAAGTGTTATACTTTTATATGGCTCTGAGATGTTTGGGCTTGGTTTGGCTTTTCAAAGGGAAAAAAAACCCTCATTTCTTATTCCACTAGTTATTGTGCTTGAGTTTCATAGACCAAAACTAAGATAACCTGTGAATTTTTTGGGGGGTGGCTTAAAACTCAGTTTGCCCAAATCTTTTGTGAAAATGAATGCAAACTTTCAAAGACATGGTTTTCTTGCAGGTCCCTTTCCAAATGTGAGGGTGGGTGGCAGTAGGGACATAGTATTTGAGGACAAGTAATTGAATAAAATAAGTTTGCATTAACTTAAATCTCACCCAGACATGGGCTAGCTTTTAAAATCAAGTAGGGTTATACTGATCAGTAGATACTAAAGAGATGAGTCCTTATTAAGGCCTTGAGATACCAAAAATCACCAAGTACTAAATGTAGTAGGACTTGTATTGCAAAACTAATAACATTGTACAAATTTGCATACCAAGAATTGCTCCAACAATTCTCCGATGTTTTCTGCCAAAGAACTACAGTAATTTTAACTGTAAATTTTTTACCAAAATAAAGTAAAACTTCTAATTTATCAATTACAATAAATAGGTGCCATTTTAAATTCTTGTTTAGATTATGACTGGTTTCCAAGCAAATACTGAATAAAACTGGTCAAAGTTTAAAATACTTATAAATCTCCAAATTATAATTTTTTAGTTTGTTTTGATTTTTCAAAGGGTGCGTTTTAACCGTATCAACATAATTTGCTTGAGGTTCCCCCACTTCACCCTTGTTTTAAGAGGTGCTTATGAAATGGAAGTGAGGAGTTGCCAACAACGCCTATAGGATGGTCTCGTCAGTGTATACTATATATGTAAAGGCTTTCTTAATTTGAGTCAGGTCTTCATTGAAAGCGTTTTGACAGTTTCTTTAGGATAGTGTGTTCTTTCTATATACATAGAACTGTGTGTATTTGGAAAACATTTGTTTTATTAGAACTAGTTTCTTCAGAAAAGCTGATTTAATCAACCTAGATGAAGTGTAGAGCTAAGGAAATAAATATTACTTACTTAGTAGTATGATATAGTTTTGTTGCGGGGGTAAGTATTGACAAGAGTTTAAGCCTGAGTCAGAATACTTGGGTTTCGTTGAAATGAAACCTAAGTTATGGAGATACCAGTTAGGACATACGGGATCCGGCTCTTACAGATATGTGCCTGTGTTGAACATAACACAGTAGATTTGTTGAATTAGAACTGAAACTGTCCTCAGTGGGTCCTGGAGTAAGTAATTTTTCAGTTTAACGTAATTGTTAGATTTGAAGATTTGCTTTGAATTAGAATTATTTCACTGGTGCTTTATTACTATATTCTAGAAAAATAGTTATCCAGAGCATAGACATCAATCTTTCCCTCTTTGTTTGTTTAGTTCATTTCAACAAATTACTAATCTTCATGGTCAAGTTTCTAGGCTACTTGTTGGATGAGATGGGATAGATGCAAAGATGAACAAAACAGAGGCTTTGCCTTTAAGGGGCCTCAAATCAAGGTAGATAGACAGATACACATAAGCACAGCGTGGAACAGACCAGCTGGAGAATCCTGCATACTTTTCAGAAAGGGGATGGGGAGGAACTACGTCCCAACTGGGGGGTTTTGGCAGAGGCTCCGTGGAGCGGGTAAAATTTCATCTGGCGGAGGTTGGGTTAAAGGCATTCTTGGGTGGAGAGAACAACTTGAATAAAGATACAGAGGCTGGGAATTACAGAGCACATTTTGGGGAATGGTACATCTGGTTTGACTATAACATTGTATACATGTCTGGGAATAATGCCAAAAGACTGCTTGTTGGCTGGTGAAATTCCGTAACTGTATTTTAACCGGCTTTAGAAACAAGTAAATCACGTGTTTGCATATTAGTTGGAATAGTAAAGAATATTAGAGTGAACCAGTATTTTTATTTGTACTGTATTCTTGCGCTTGTATCTCCCACTTGAACAGTAAGTCATTAGCTCCTACCTCCAAGGAAGGATTTATTTTTTTCCCCCCATTTATTTGTATCACCTGAGTAGTTGTAAGTTGAATGAAAAATGTTTATGTATAATTGCATTTATGTTGGTTTATTTTCTGTAGCGTGACTATTTTTGCTATTCCCCTCAAGATTTTGAGCTCTTCAGGATCAGGACTTTACATGATCTGCCCTATCTAGGTTAATGACAGCTTTTGATCATTCTGAATATCCAACTTAAATTGTCATTGTTACAGATTATGATGCATGATTATCACAGAAGAAATTCGTGTCTATAGCTTTTAAGGACTTGATTACATCATTTTCAAGCCTGATAGTTTTGGAATCACGATTAGAGCTTAAGACACAACTGCCTTCACTTCAACCACCTGTCTTCATACCTGGACGAAGTGCTACGTTTTAATGCTCCTGTGTCCCTGGATTATTTAAACTTCCCAGAATTATATTTCTCACCAGTATAGTAGGTAAGTGAACATTCAATGCTGAGTCCAAAAGTAAGACATATTGTTTTTCTAAAGACTTGGCTGAGGACAGTACAACCTTTCAGGTCAATAATATCATTTGTGGGGCAAAAATTCATATTGCTCCCTCCTGTAAATGATTTTGAATTTAAATAAAGCAGTTATTTCAGACTGAAGTCTCCTATCACTGCTTTTTAATGATGCAGTTTTTGTAGCCATTCCTCAGTGGTTTACAAATAGAGATAAAATGGACAATTTTTAAAAGAACTCAAGTTTCTATTATGTAGTTTTAGGAGATAAGATAATTTAAAATATATGAAACTTGGAACAGAATTTAAGTTTATCTTTTTAAATTCCTTGTATATTCTTTATATATTTCAAAGCATTTATAAAAATCATTTGGCAGGTATTATAGTGCCAAGACTTACTAGACTTTTAAGTGTATTTAGGCAGGGGAGGATGGAGCTGAACAATTTTCTACGTCTAAATCTCAATTATGTATGCTTCTGAGGAATAGAATCAAATTGGGTATCTTTAAGGAAACTGAAAAAGGGTAGGACTGGGATCGCTAATAGTTTTTCTTATTTGCAAGAACGAGGGTGACAGCAGCCAAAATCCAGGGAAATATATATGTGATAGCTACTTCACATCCCTCCAGACTTTTAGATTACTTGTTATATGGATCTGGGCTGGGCTGGGCAGGGTTTCTGCTTCCTTCCCTTCAGAACAAATGTGCTAATAGGCAGGGAAACCTGGTCAGAATTGTTTAGATACCACTACTGTATGAATTCTTAAATAGACTTATGACCAAAGCATGGGGGTGCAAAGACTTGGGCATTCAGTGCCATTGTTTTTTCACCAATGTTTTCTGTGTGATAAAATGTTTGTGTTGGTGGGATGGAATTTGAGAATGAAGACACTATATTACTCTTAGAAATATAATTTTAAAAGCTACTGTTTACTAGTATAATAACTCAGCTTTCTTTCTTCCATTTAGCCAAATTTATAAGGAAAAATGATTCCCAATGGATATTTAATGTTTGAAGATGAAAATTTCATTGAGTCTTCTGTTGCCAAATTAAATGCCCTGAGGAAAAGTGGGCAGTTTTGTGATGTTCGACTTCAGGTATTTAACTTATTTGGAAACATGTAGAATCTTTTATTACAATAGGCCGTACATTGGTGGATTTTTTGTAACCAGTTGCCGTCGAGGCGATTCCAACTCGTGACCCCATGTATGTCAGAGTAGAACTGTGTTCCACAGGATTTTTAGTGACCTTTTTTTTTTTTTAACTGTACTTTAGATGAAAGTTTAAAGAAAAATCTAGTTTTTCTCATTTAACAGTTAGTAAACATTGTTTTATGACATTGGTTAACAATCCCATGGCATGTCAACCCTCTCCCTTCTTGACCTTGGGTTCCCTATTAACAGCTTTCCTGTCCCCTCCTGCCTTCTAGTCCTTGTACCTGGGCTGTTGTGTGCCTTTAGTCTCGTTCTGTTTTATGGGCTTGTCTAACCTTTGGCTGAAGGGTGAACCTCATGAGTAACTTCATTACTGAGCTAAAAGGGTGTCTGGGGGCCATACTCTCGGGGTTTCTGCAGTTTCTGCCAGGCCAGTAAGTCTGGTCTTTTTTGTGAGTTATAATTTTGCTTTTCATTTTTCTCCAGCTCTGTCTGGGACCCTCTATTGTGATCCCTGCCAGAGCAGTCAGTGGTGGTACCCAAGCACCATCTAGTTGTACTGGACTCAGTCTGGTGGAGGTGGTAGATGTGGTCCATTAGTCCTTTGGACTAATCTTTCCCTTGTATCTTTAATTTTCTTCATCCTCCCTTGCTCCCAAAGGGGCGAGACCAGTGGAGTATCTTAAATGGAAGTAGATTACCAGACCTTTCTTCCAGGGTGCCCTGGGTGGACTAAAACTGCCACCGTTTCAGTTAGCAGCCAAGCCCTTACTGTTTGCACCACCCAGGGGCTCCTTTCTTTTTCATAGTAGGTTCTTACTGAGATGACTTTAAGAAATATGCTTTATCTGGAAATGTAGGACCATGGAGTCAGATGTTGTAATTAGCTAGAGAAATACAGAGTCCCTAATACTTGTGATTTTAATTCTTCATAATTTCAGGTCTGTGGCCATGAGATGTTAGCACACAGAGCAGTCCTGGCTTGCTGCAGTCCTTATTTATTTGAAATTTTTAATAATGATAGTGATCCTCATGGAGTTTCACATGTTAAATTTGATGATCTCAACCCAGAAGCTGTTGAAGTCCTGTTGAATTATGCTTACACTGCTCAGTAAGTACTTTGAAGTAAAGGATGTAATTAGGGAGTATCATCAGGAAATTCCAAGTCTCTAAATTTATTTAAATTAAATATCTGTGTTCTAAGGCCTTGGTATCTTAAATGATAAAGACCTTTTTTTCCTAACAGGTTGAAAGCTGATAAGGAATTAGTAAAAGATGTTTATTCTGCAGCAAAAAAACTGAAGATGGACCGAGTAAAGCAGGTAGAGTACCAAAAGTAATGTACAGAGATTACTATTAGTAGGGAGTCTTATTTTATATGATCAGAAGGCCGAATTTGTCATAAAACATTTTGCGTCAAGAACTTGAAATTGTTCTTTTCTCAGGAAAAGAAAAACTGACAACATTCACGTTTCTAATTCTACCCCCTCCCAATCTTTTTTTTCCCAGACAACTGAATATACATCATCCTAACTTTAATCACTGTTTGGTTATAGTAATATAGCAAGATTGAACTTCTCAAAGATAATTTGAGCAAATTCTTGCTCTTCTAACAGTCATCCATGGCAGAATGGTTGTGGCTGTCTGTGACAACATGAATTAAAATATTCCTGTTTATTTCAAGAGTTATTCACATAACTTATGTCCTCAATTATCTGTTCTTCTACACTTCAGGGTTTTTCTTCAAAGGATTCCTTCTAGAATTTAGCACCAGTGAGAAGTGCTTAATAATTCATTGGGAAAAAAGGCATTTAATCCTCTGTAAACAACAGGCTGCTGGCCAGCTGCCTGTATTTGTAAATAAAATTTTATTGGAACACAGCCATGCACATCATTTACATATGGTCTGTGGCTGCTTTCCAGCTGCAGTGACAGAGTTGAGTGGTTGCAACAGAGACAGTATGGCCCGCAAGTCTAAAATATTTACTATCTGGCCCCTTAAGAAAAAGTTTGCTGGCCTTTGCTTGAATGTCACTCCTCTGCTCGAAAGCCTTTTTGTGGTTTACAGCATTCCAGGTTCTTCCTGATGTAGTTGATATCTTTCCAAAATTATTACCTGGCTGGCTTGTCTTTGCTCTAGCCTCACTACATTGTTTGCAGCATCTTCCCTATTCCCTATCTGCACCCAGTATCAACAACATCTCTCCTGTAAAGCTTGGTTCAGATAATGCCTTTCATGAAAACTTAATTATTGTACTTGGAAAAACTTATCTGAACCTACATAGTATTTCAGTTTGCTTCCTCTCTCTCAAAACAACTCAGACATTCATATGACATTCTTTGATGTTTATCATTTGTACGTTTACCTACTGTTAAACTTGTTCTAAGGTAGTGATTTTTTTATTCATTTTTGTATCTCCACAGTGTGCTTACACATTAAGTATATAATGTTTATTGAATAAAATATATGTAAATGTTGGCACTTGTGTATTTCTTTTCCAAGGTTTGTGGCGATTATTTACTATCTAGAATGGATGTTGCCAGCTGCATCTCTTACCGAAATTTTGCAAGTTGTATGGGAGACTCCCGTTTGTTGAATAAGGTTGATGCTTACATTCAGGAGCATTTGTTACAAATTTCAGAAGAGGAAGAGTTTCTTAAACTTCCACGGCTAAAGGTAAGGCGTATACTCTATAAGCAGAATTATACTCCTTAGTTCCGGGCAGAGAATCTTTGTTCATGTTTCAAGCAAGTGAGTAATGTTTAGGAAAAATACATTGACCTGACATTGTTATTTTAGCAGTGTAGTGGTTTTCTGCCTGCCAGTTTGTTTACTTTGTTTTTGTGTTTGTATGTCTGGTTTCCTTACATATTAGAGTAAATGTGTGCGGAATACAACTGAGTATCGATGACAACTTTATTACAAAATTGAGAATTAAACTGGGAATCGGAGGTTTAACACTGATCCATGTTTATTGTTCTTCCCCAACTTTAGCTGGAGGTAATGCTTGAAGATAATGTTTACTTGCCCAGCAATGGCAAATTGTATACAAAGGTAATCAACTGGGTGCAGCGTAGCATCTGGGAGAACGGAGACAGTCTGGAAGAGCTGATGGAAGAGGTTAGTTTTTAAGTAAATGGGATTCAACAATTCTTAAAAATTATTTTGCTATAACATGAAGGATTCCCTTTCACTTTTATTTTATAACCATGACCCTAAAGAATTTAAATTTTGCTATAGGTACCCCTAAGCTGAGAAACAGGGGGGGTGTCCAGGTGAGCTGAATGAACTGTTCAGTTTGGTCTTCTGCTTTTCTTTTTTTATTTCTTTGCTTATTATGTGCTGTTAACTTTCTTTAAAAGTAGCATGTAATTTGCTTTAGAAATGGGAGGTGGTACTGAAATTTTCTGTAGATTCTTAATTTTTCTTCACAGGTTTTTGCTTTAAATTTGATAAGTAGGTAAAAGCTTCTAATGGTTGTTCCTCCCCATTGATTTATCTCCCCATAGGTTTATTAACAAAACTAGGATACCCAAGACTGAAGAAACAAGAAGAAACCTCGAGTGTATTGACACGTAAAGAAGCAGCAGTCCTGCCCTAGTTCTCCTAAGAAAAATCCGCTGTGGGCAGAGAACGATGATGATTTAATGGTGTTTACTCCTTTACAGGATTCTTATCTTTAAAGCTTTGTGTTTTTCAATGGTGTTATTCATACATATACCCACTTACTTAACTCGGGCTACCTTTTAAAAATACACAAGAAAAAATAAAATGAAATTGATGGAGAAATGGTGGGAAATAAAAATATGCAGGTGGAGCCATGAAGTAATCTAGAGCTTCATCACTTGATTTACAAGCCTTTCAGAAGGCTGAATGCTTACCAGATCTGTTTGGCCTTTAAAAATACTGTCATCTTTATGTTTTAAAAGGCTAACAGGTGATACTTAAATTCTATTTAATTTCCCACTTAAAAATCAGATGCATTATCCATGTATTTGCATCTGTGAAGGGAAGTATTTCTACAGCTTGTTTGAATTTTTGCATGGTTTTTTCTTTATCTGTTTTTCTTGCTATTGCCTATTCTGCCCAAGAGAGAATATATTTATGCAAATCAGACCATATATCTTCAACAGTGTAAACCATACTCAGTATTTTATTGTAAGTATGTATATATTCTTTAAGAGCCTATACATTGTACTAGTGCCTTTTTTCTTAATATTTCATAACGGAAACTATGAAAAATGAAGATTTCTTTCGAACCAGTCAAGCCAAGGACTCTTCAGCCAGTATTACAAGATTTTGTATTTGATTTTTTTTGTTTTGTTTTCTTTTTAAATTTTTACCACCATGACATGTTATTTTTCTTTGCTTCGTGATCCTGCCAGAGTAAGATGTCAAGAAGCTCCCTGGAGGTTACCTTGAGGCGTTTGTGTAATCTGCATACTAGTGGAGTAGCCATGGAGACAGCAGCCACATGGGTGTTCTGTTGCTGTTTTGCAGGTTCAAACCTTGTACTACTCAGCTGATCACAAGCTGCTTGATGGGAATCTACTAGATGGACAGGCTGAGGTGTTTGGCAGTGATGATGACCACATTCAGTTTGTGCAGGTACACATTGCACAGTCTGAGGTAACCTCAGATTAAAATTTGATTAGAGAATTTTATAGCATACTTAAATTTTCCTTTAAAGGAAAGTGGAAGAATCTCATTGGTATAACTTGGACAAACATTTTCAAGAGAAACAAAGCATATCTCTTAGGGTTATTAGCAGTTTTGCCACATGAAAAGAAATTACCTCAACAAATTAGGGAAACTCATCCAGATTTTTTCCTCATAAAATAGGATTTACAAGTAGTAAGAAAAATGAATGAAGCGATGTAGAATTAATTTTATGATTTGATTAGATTAGTCTGTGACAGAGAAGACTGTTGGGCCTGATTTTTAAAAGTTACAGGGGGACTCAAATTGTTGGTTATAAAAGGAATTTTGGATGTTTCTTATGATGCCTGAGCTATTTTATTATTTGAAAACAAATGATGGTAGTTAAGATGAATTGTACAATGTAATAAACATAAAAATGGTTTTTAGTTGAGCAGATGTTACAAAATGATGAGCAAAATGAATTGAAGCAGTATAGTTCCATTGTGCTAATTGAGCAAGTTACTTTGACTTTTATAAAATTCAGTTCATTTATACCCTACTTTAGTGGGTACCAAAAAAAAAAAAAGTAAATAAAAACAAACCCATTACCTTCAAGTTGATTCCAACACATAACAACCCTTATAGGACGGAGCAGAACTGTCCCATAGAGTTTCCAAGGGTGCAGTCTATGCAAGCAGACTGCCACATCTTTCTCCCATAGAATAGGTGGTGGTTTTGAACTGCCGACCTTTCAGTTAGCAACCAAGCACTTTAACCACTGTGCCACCAGGGCTCCTTTAGTGGGTAAACACATACTTTATTCAAACACATTATCAACAATATGACAACAAATATCTCCAGTATGAAGTTTTTTAGTTTATGGACAAATAATATACAGAAAAGTACATACACTGTGTCATAAGTGAACCATCCAGTATAAACAGTACCAGGCCATTAAGAGAAGATTTCTAGCATCCTGGAAGCCCTCCTCTTGTCCTTTTCCAATCTCTGCCATACACTATGCCAAAGGAAGCCATTATCCTAACTCCTAACAGTATCACGTTATATGTATAACACAGTTTATCTAACACGATAAACTAATTGTAATTGGCCTGTGTTTTAGACAAGTGGTCATACAGCATGTATTTTGTGTCTTGCTCACCATTGTATTTGTGAGTTAATGCAGACTGAGGAGTGTTTTCCTTTAATAATTAGAAGGTAAATGATGGACTCAATAGTAATCCTGTATGGTGATATTAGCAGGTATTTATTAGCTCTTTGTGGTGGTCTGTGGCAATAATGGCTGAATATCTTTAGGCTCAGAGAGGTTTTGGGTATGAATTAGTTGAGAACTTTGTTCATGTTTGTGCATTTTGAACATTTAGAGTATTTTTCCTCTTTAACTTATAAATTAATATTTTTTAAGTAATCTTTCAACAAGCAATGGTTGATTATCTGATATGTGGCAGACCATGATGTTAGCTGTGGGGATACAAAAATGTGTAAAAGACATTCTGCTTACAGCACTTTATAGGAGTAGGTAGAACAATACAGACTTACAAGAGGGATCTACAAAGGGCATAGGCGAGAGGGTACAATGGGGATGAGAGAAACAAGGGAAATTTCACAGAGAAGGTGACACTGAGCAGTCTTAGGATTTAGAAGTTTGCATGCTAGATGGAGAGAAGTGTGTAAACTAGCAAAGAATGTCTGTGCAAGGATGACAGACTTGAAACTACAGGTGATGAGACTGGGCAGATAGGTAAATGCCACCAGAATGGGACTTATACTTGACCCTACAGATAGTGGGGAACCTTCAAAGAATTTTAGACAACTTTAATAATAATGAAACACTGGGCAAAACTTAAGTGCAGCAACAGGGAGATTGTTTAAATTGTGGTACTTCTGTACAGCAAAGATCTGTACATTCGCTAATAATCATATTTTAGACGAGTTAACTATTAGGTGGCAGTCTTTGGGTGGTAGGATTCGAGATGATTTGCATTGTTTTTTTGTTGTTGTTGTTATTGTTTTTTTAACTTCCCAAATTTTATTGAACCCTTTATTTTTATTACCAAGTCAGAGGTGGATTATAGCTTGTGAGAACAATGTGTAGACTATTACAAGCAATAGTTTGGTGAAAAAAAGGAGGGCTTGGTCTAAAGGCATGAAGGAGGAAGGATGGATTTTAAGCATTTATATTTATGTACATTGAGTTAAGAGGCCTTAGTGATTGTTTACGAAGATTATGGAAAAAGAATTTGAGTGAGTGGGGTTCTGACTTGTATAGCTCATTAGAAGGTGACTCCATGAATAGGGATCATGTAGTAAAAAGGAAGAGGGACACACATTAGGCTTCAGAGGTAGAAAGAGGAGGTTGAGAAGAAACCATTTGAAAGGTAGGAGGACAGGTAAAAGAATTGTGTTTTAAAAGCTACCTAGGATAGGAGAAAAGGTTTTAAACAGAACTAAATTATCAACTGTCAGATCCTTCTCTGGGAAGTCATGTAAAAGTTAAGGTTATCTCTTTTACATTGGTTTTAGGAAGTCACTTAGTAACCATTAATGGATTTAATTTCCAAAGAATACTGAGAATAAGAAACACCTTACCTTGAGAAGTGATTGTGGCTGAAGAAGAGAGAGCCTTTAGAGCCTACCCTTATTGGTAGCCAGAGGGGAAAAGGGACATGTCAGCCTGCAGGTGGGCTGGGTGGAAGGAATTGAGGCAGGAAAGTTTGAAGGTAAGGGAGTAAAGGTTCTGTCTTAGTTATCTATTCTTAGTTATCTAGTGCTGCTATAACAGAAATACCACAAGTGGATGGCTTTAACAAAGAAATTTATTCTCTCATAGTCTAGAAGGCTACAAGTCCAAATTCAGGGTGTCAGCTCCAAGGGAGGGCTTTCTCTGTGGGCTCTGGGGGAAGGTTCTTGTCATCAGTCTTCCCCTGGGTCAATCTAGGAGTTTCTCAGCGCAGGGACCCCAGGTAAAAAGGACACGCTCTTCTCCTGGCTCTTCTTTCTTGGTGGTAAAGGTTGAGAATGTTTCCTAAGGAATATGAAGGAGTTAGGTAGCATTTCTAGGTAAGGCTTTTTAGATATATAAATTAGTAGCCTTCATTGTTATTAGTGCTTTACTCTTTACATTCATTTTCTCTCAATTACAGACAATACATTACAACAATTTCCTTAATGCACTAACCTCTTAATGTGAGCATCATCAATTTGTTGTGCTTTGGACCCCTTCCTTCCACAGATTGGAATGGGATTTTTTAGACCTTGTAATTGCTAGTAGCAGATGACTCAGTCTGTCATAGTATAAAAAGGGTAGGCTTTGTACTCAGTTAAAATTCCTCATCTTTATTATAGATGTTTGGCCTTAGGCATTGCATATCTTTTGAGTTTTAGTTTTTTTAAATCTATAAAATGGATAGGTAACACCTCCCTTACATAATTTAAAAAGATGATATGAATAAGGTGCCTAACAGTACCTAGTATGGGTGGGTATGTAATAAATGTCTAAATGGCTTAGACAACTATGACCATGGAACATTCCCTGTCTTCTCTCACAGTAACCTACATATGCTGTAGCCAGACTCGAATGGCTTAGGCCAAACTTTTGATACCTTTTTTTTTTTTTTTTTTTTAACATCTTCAAGTAACTACCAGAATCTTTCCCCCTATTACTTGTTACATGACTTTCCTTCTATTAGAATCAGAAATTTCTTACCTATCCCTGTGATTCTGGCCCTGGGGACCATAGTAAGTGTATGAGCCGACTTGGCCAGGTACAGAAGGTACTAGCAGTTCATTTGGCAGTTGCTGTCAGGATAGTCCTGACTCTTCCAGTTCCACATGATCATATCCTTTGGGAGTGGCGAGGGCTAATGTAATTAGACCAACGCCTATGTAAGAACACAGTGTAGTTCTCTTACAGTCATTTGAAAATTGGCAGCTTTGCTCGTTTCTCCCTCTTTCAGTGTTGCTGTATATTCTACTTTTGTGAACATTTGGTACTTCATGTTATCATTTCATTTCTGATTACTGTTTCTTTTTTATTTTTGTGTTTTGATGTACTTGTCTGTGATATCTATAAGCTACTCCTAAAAAAATACCTATAACTGTGTCTTGTAATTGCCACTTTTTCTCTTGTAAAACACTTTCAGAGAGACTGGATGAATCTAAGTCTATTCACTTTTTGCTGGCATCATATGAAAGATACTAGTACATGTGGATTAGGTTTGGCAATTTCATGAAGACAGTGAGTAAATGTATTCTTTCAGTTAATTCGTGCCATTATAAATTTATAACATCTATTGGAAGATTTTAAATATAAAGAATATTTGAACTTAAGTGGATTCTGAGGTTTCTTCCCCCTTTGGAGATACCATCATGATAGTTGATCCACAACATGTTTTTTGAATTGTTTAAATTGAGCTTTTTTCTGATCAGGCAATTTGTGTAGGTGTGATTGTTCCATTTTTAAGTGGAGATGGAAGTATGCTAGTGATTTGTGTCAATTGGGAAGTGTTGGTTTGTGTTAAATGTCATACGTAGATGAAGGATATTCAGTGTTTCTTTCAGTGTTGTGGAATAGCTCAGAAACAGAGGTACATCAGTGTATAGTCTTTGGCTAGGTTTCTGTAGCTACCTTTTGATTTTGCAGAAAAAGCCACCACGTGAGAATGGCCATAAGCAGATAAGTAGCAGTTCCACTGGATGTCTCTCTTCTCCAAATGCTACAGTACAAAGCCCTAAGCATGAGTGGAAAATCGTTGCTTCGGAAAAGACTTCAAGTAAGTGTTTGACACTTGTCAGATTGTCTTCTACTTGTTATTTACTTATTTATAAGAAGGAGCATTGAACGGAAACCATTTAATACTCTTAAATTGGCTATTTGAGGAAAAAAACAGAAGCAGTTAAATTGGGAAACAATGGCAGATTGTTCCAGTCTAAGATCTGGAGAATGTGGAATCCAATTCAAGATCACACAGCAACCAAAAGTAGTAATAATTGCATCTTAAACATAGAACTCTTGTCCTTTCAGATAATACTTACTTGTGTCTGGCTGTGCTGGATGGTGTATTCTGTGTAATTTTCCTTCACGGACGAAACAGCCCACAGAGCTCACCAACAAGTACTCCGAGACTAGTTAAGAGTTTAAGCTTTGAGATGCAACCAGATGAGCTAGTAGAAAAGCCCATGTCGCCTATGCAGTACGCACGATCTGGTCTGGGAACAGCAGAGATGAATGGTAGACTCATTGCTGCAGGTAAGAACAGAAAATAGCAGATTTCTTACCAGAAGCATTCAAACGGCTAAGCCTGCAAATGGGCATTTACACTTAGTTGCTTGTGACATGCAAACTTTGAAGTAGAAGGTTTGTTATGCCTTCTTGGCATTCCAACTTTATCACATTCTAAGAACATAGAGAAATAACAAGTAAATTCTATTGTGTCTGCTTAACTTGTAGGTCAATGTCTTTTTCTAATTTTTTTTTTAAATTGTAAAGTAAATAAATTATTCTAATTTTCAACCAAAAACTAAGCACCTCACTCACACTGACAATTTTGTTATTTTTCATCTATAACAAGCACTTACTTAAAACAAACTGAGTCCCTAGTAAGTTACATATTGGATAGAAACACTTTTTTTTTTTATCGTGCAGATTACTTAAACCATTGTAGACCAGAAACCCTGGTTCAGTTTAATATTTCAAACATAAATCTTCATGGTTCTTTTACCAGGTGGCTACAACAGAGAGGAATGTCTTCGAACAGTTGAATGCTATGATCCACGTACAGATCAGTGGTCCTTTCTTGCTCCCATGAGAACACCAAGAGCCCGATTTCAAATGGCTGTGCTTATGGTAAGCAGATTATGTTGCAACCCATCTTTACCTTTTTATCATAACTTTAGAATGGCAGAAATTCTAATCTCACTTTTGCCATAGGGCCAGCTCTATGTGGTAGGTGGATCAAATGGCCACTCAGATGACCTGAGTTGTGGAGAGATGTATGATCCAAACATAGATGACTGGACTCCTGTTCCAGAATTGAGAACTAACCGTTGCAATGCAGGTAATAATGGCTTTCTTCTTAGGTAGCTAATATTTAAATGATAATTATCAATTTATAACATTATTTTATACTTACATAGGAGTGTGTGCTCTGAATGCGAAATTATACATTGTTGGTGGCTCTGATCCATATGGGCAAAAAGGACTAAAAAATTGTGATGTATTTGATCCTGTAACAAAGGCATGGACAAGCTGTGCTCCTCTTAACATTCGTAAGTTGATTTTTTTTTCTCTTAAGGTTGGTTTTGAAAAAAAGACATCTGGATCAACAGTATGTGCAATACACACATAATTTGGAGAGCTACAACAACTGTCGTTTGACTTGATTTTATAGGTAGACACCAGTCTGCAGTCTGTGAGCTTGGTGGTTATTTGTACATAATCGGAGGTGCAGAGTCTTGGAATTGTCTGAACACAGTAGAACGTTACAATCCTGAAAATAACACCTGGACTTTAATTGCACCCATGAATGTGGCTAGGCGAGGAGCTGGAGTAGCTGTTCTTGATGGTGAGTGTTGAGATTTGGGGGAGGTGAATAGTAGTTAGTGGGAAGAGTTTTTCTAAAATTCTAAGAAAATATCAATAGTAATAATTACAAGTGGTCCCTGACTTATGACATATTTGAGTTATGACAAACCATACTTACAACAGTCTGGTCAGTTTTTGGTTTTTTTTTTTTTTGGTGCATCTTAACATTAGTAATATGTTCTGCATACAGTGTTGTAGTGTGTAATTTGCAGATGTTACCATTCTCGGATGTTCAATGTTAATGATATACTGTTCAAAACATTGCCATATAGCAGGCAATAATGAAAACTTGAAAAGTATTTGACTTATGTCAGAACCATCTGAACAATGGAGTTGTTGGAACAAAACCCCGTCATAAGTCGGGGACTACCTGGATATGCTTGTACAAATATGAATTCAGAAACAGCCATGTCTTCTGATGCAATAGGGACTGGTGATTTGTTGTCCATTAAAAAGTCTTTTCTACTCAGAGATTCATAATAGATGATAACATAACTTAAATGTATGAATTCACCAGTTTTTGGATGTGTTCACTAAATGAAGTTACAAGACATTTACTTCCATAAGCCATACCCATAATGCAGCATCTTGAATTTTGAGTTTCCATTCCTTAAGAACAAAAATTTAAAGATTATTTGCAGAACAAAATAAGTGAAAATGTTCCTAACTAGAAGCAAAACTTTTAAACTGTTTTACAAGTCTTTCCAAAACATTAAATTTTGTTTTATGTAGCTACAGCCTTGTTTTCACATCTATCTTATTGATTTAAGTAGTGTTTAATTGTATAATTATAATAATGAATTGAGTTAGCATCGTTTTTGGAATAAACACAGTTGAATTCCATGTGGGAATGGGTTTTTATCAGTTTTATTCACTGTTTGTCTCCTCAGCTTCTGGAGTGTTCATACTTTTTTGACAGAATGAATAGACAGACATTTCTACCTAACAACCACTCGTTTTAGCAAGTAGACTAATTGATACCTAGCCCTACCCACCCACACACACACTACTTTAGCCTGTCTATATTTACCCTGTCTCATTTCTCTTTTAGGAAAATTGTTTGTAGGTGGTGGCTTTGATGGTTCTCGTGCCATCAGTTGTGTGGAGATGTATGATCCAACTAGAAATGAGTGGAAGATGATGGGAAACATGACTTCACCAAGGAGCAATGCTGGGATTGCAACTGTAGGGAATACCATTTATGCAGTAGGAGGATTTGATGGCAATGAATTTCTGAATACGGTGGAAGTTTATAACCTTGAGTCAAATGAGTGGAGCCCCTATATGAAGATTTTCCAATTTTAACAAATTTAAGACCCTTTCAAACTAACAGGCTTAGTGATGTAATTGTGTTTAGTAAAGGTACATTTGTGAATAAGGAGGGTGGGTGGGTATAGATGTTGCTAACAGCAACACAAAGCTTTTGCATATTGCATATTATTAAACATGCTGTACATACTTTTTGTGTTTATTTGGAAAGGGATGCAAAGATGAAGGTCTGTTTTGTGCATTTTTAGAATTTTTTTGGTTTCTTTACTTTTTGGAAGTTGATATTGTAAAAGAATAAACCAAGAATGATTGGGCACATCATTTCAAGAAGTCCCCTCCTCCACATTTGTTTTGCCAATTTGCACATTAAATGACTCTTCCCTAAAATGTGTGTTATGGGGTAAGAGGGGTTGGGTTTTAAGATGTAGGCAGTTGGGATTTTTAAGGGCCCTCTTCCAATAACTGGAACAATCTAACAAAAAAGACTTATTTAGCTAGATGACAATGACTATTTTTGTTTTTATTAAAAGAAAGCTGACATGCCTACCAATATTTAATCTTTTATGATTGCCCTTTTATAACTTTTTATATTCTCATTCTCAGCATAGTGTTTTACCTGTTGAAGGAAAATGGTAGATTCAAAGTACTGAAGCATAGTGGTAGTCTTAAAAGTATGCAAAGTGGGGTGCATCTTTTAAACACCTAGAATGCACACTTCTAAGCTTTTTTCTTGGCTTTTTTTTTTTTTTTTTTTTTTTGAGATTGCAATATAAGTGTTTATTTGGATAGAGTTGCTGAACAGTAACATAGCTATATGATTTTTGGTATTTGGGACACTTGATTTTAAATATTTTGACTTATTAAGAGTGTATCTTGTATAGCAAAACATTTAATATAACAGTAAAGAACAGTTAAGTATTTTATCTTCTAAAATCTGTCTTTATCATTAACAAAACAACCCTAAATGGCAGCCCTCAGATGTGAAAAAAAAATCCTTAGTGGGTTTGTGAATGCAACCTATATCAGAACTATGTTTTTGTTCAGTTTTTCTATTCAACTGGATAAATACTGGTTGGGATGACTTGGTGTCTAATGTGTAATGCCACACATCTAACTTATGGTGCCAAAATTAGCACGTTCTGATGCTTGCTGCTGATGCAAACAGTAATATTAAAGGTACTTTCAGGAGATCCTTGCACCATGGGATTAACATCCAAATGTTGTTTGTGTACTCATTCACTACTAAGAGTTTTGGGGAAACATTTTTTTATTTTCCCAATAATGATGAGTTTAAGGTAGTTGGAAAATATTCACCTTGGCATCAACAGGTGTGAGATTCCCCCTCCCCCACCCAGGAGACAAAGCACACAAGAATGTAATATGCCAACTGGGATGAGGTGGTGATTTCAGTGGCTACCTTGGGTAAGGGAAGTAGGTATTTTTCCCACTGGTAGTTTGCCACCTTATTTCAAACAACCACCAAGAAAACTGGCTGAGTTCCTGACTGTCCATCTATACATGGTTTGGTTCAGGACTAAAACTAGGTTAGCAGATTTCACCGTGCCTAGTATGATGACTGTTTTTGAAACGGATCTGTATTATGTCCTATTTAGCACCAAAAAAAAAAAAGTTGGGGATTCAGCAGTAAAATCTTTGAAATCACTTCTCAGTTCATAAGTGACACGCTTAATGCAAATAATATGTGGAGTATTTCAGGTCAGAGTTTACTGTGATGCCAAACAAGTTATCCAGTGGCTATGAGTATTTTCTAAGAAGCCATTAGAGCCAATCTGCATGAACATAAGTTGCCATAATGGAAAAACAGTGCTCAGTAACCAGTTAACTACTTATCCACATCTAAAAAGTATGTTTTCTTCAGGGAGGGAGAAAAATGTGTCATAGTCTCAACATAATTTCTTTTTTTTTTTTTATATTTTCTTTACCAGTATGGATTTTGGAGTAGTTTGTTTACTATCAGTAGTAATACAACTTCTTTAACAGTGCACAAAACATACTAGATTCCTCAAAGAATAGTGAAATACCCAAAATAACTTCTAATTAACAATATGGTTAGTTATACTCAGGCATAAGTTTTATTCTGTATTATGATTTTCAGTATAGGGTTCTGATTTCTGGCTTCTAATCTGTCCTACATACTTTACCATTGTTCAAAAATATTTTAAGAGTTTCCTCATAACAATCATTTTTGGGGAAAAAAAGACCTAGATTTGGGGATGTGATATAGTGCTAGAATCCTTGCATAATTAACAAACTAGGTGTGCAGCCTTTAATTTCTTCAGACCTCAGAATGTTTAACTTGAAGTAGGCAAAGGAGAAAGTCCAGTAGGACATTTCTGCAAGTCTAGGGTTGCCTTCAGAAGTATATAAAGTCACAGAAAGTTCAGTTTTATATTAGTCATTTATTTGTATCCTGTTCCAAACAAAGATTTGAGTCAGTGAGTGAGGTATACAGGATAAATTAACTGGGTGAAAAAGAAGGGAAACAAGGAAACACCAATATCCATCTTAAATACTTGATGAGGCTGAGTCACAAATTTGATCTTATAAACAGGAGACCTGTTAAGTCATAATGTCTGTCTTCTGTGTTAGCAAGTGTTTTTCTAAACCAAAAGTGGTACCAAGCTTTTAGTGGAACAGGCTTGAAAGAAAGCATCTGATAAAGGATTTGTATCCAGAATGTAAAAACTCACAAAACTCAGTAACTCAAAAAATAAGCAAAAGATTTGAACAGACATCACCAAAGAAGATCAACTGGATGCCAAAAAGAAAGTAAGACGCTAAACATCTACTAGTCATTAGGAAGATGTAAATTAAGACCAAAATAACATAGCTACTAAAACAGTAATACTGAATTCTGGCTAGCACGGACAATAACTGGAACTCCAATAAAATTGAAAGGATTGCAAAATACTAGTGTCGCTTCAGAAAACATTTGGTAGTTTCTTATATAGGAACAGGCTTAAAAGAGGGTAGGACATATGCACTAGAAATCACATCAAGAGAACCATTTGTTCCTACTAGCTTCGCTGGGGTTCTGTACTGAGCTAATGTAGTTTAGCCCATAACCATTAGTCTGCAGAGTTGGAAAGGCAGAGAAAAGTTTAGAACTCTTAAAGGGTAGGATGTTGAAATTGGTTTATAGAATTAAACCAAGCTAGTAGCTCAGATTTGGGTGTCCACCACTTCATTTTCTATGTTCATAACTTGTAATTCTGCTTTAAAAAAATACATCTGTCTGTGCTTTCAGCAGGCCAGAATTAAATTCTTACACAAAGATTTATTTTCCTTTCCCTTTCCCTTTCCTGCCAAGCAAGAAATCACATGCTTTAACTTTAAAAATTCTTTGTGGCTACTTCTCTCGTGCCTTAGAAGACTGACTAAAGCTCTGTGTGTATCAAAGTAGTCAAAAACAAAAGTCAAAACCTCATGCTTGTTGGAATACTAGTTTTAGATTATCGATTATAGTGGTATTAAAAATTCTTCAGGATGAAGAGTTTTTAATTCTTTGCTAAGTTACCAAGAGAGACATCTTGATTGCTCTTAATGTAAGTTTCCCAAACTTGCTAGTCCAAATGCATACACAAGTAAGCTTCAGGAGTGATGTAAGAATTAAAACAAAATGAAAATAAGCACTATACAGTTCAGAAAACCCATTGTAAGAATGTTGGGAAGGACAGGGTTAAATACAATGTAATTTTAGGGATGTCTCCCAGAGTGGAGAGGTGGGTAAAAGTACTCAGGTTTACTTTACGTGCTACCATTCAATAAGCACACAATTTGTTAACTAAGATTTCCCATTTAAATTAATAAGACTCAAAAGTACATGGGGGCACACAATCCTGTTGTTCAGATCCCCCCAAATTATTTATTTCTATCATGGGGTATACAGAATGTAGGTTTAAAGATCACAGACATGAGTTCAAATACAGTAGATGTCCTGGCAGACAAATTTTAAAAATTTGAGACAAGTCACACCCAGTTTATAAAAAAAGACTAGATCAAAATTTAGAAATGATTCCCATCATATGGGACAGAAAACTTGTCTACAATCCCTCAGATTTACCAATCGTTTTCACCAGTAGCCAAAGATAATTCAGAATAAAATCCATGACTATAAAGAAATGATGTTCTAAAAACCCCAAGAAAGTCAATTCTTCAGCCTTTTTGGCTCCCAGAGAAGAGTCCATTGTTGTGGAGCACATTCCAGAAGGGTCTAAAAGAGACACATCATTTTGACCTTACTGAATGGCTTTTCACCCAACAAAACCCACACAAGTTTAGAGCTAAGTCAAACTTAGTAGGCAAAAGTAGAGCATGTCTTATGTTTTAGCCTGCAGGTCAATTTGTCAAAAATACTTACTATGACCATGAGTGACACAGTAGAGACTGTGTGTACTTCCTACCCTCACAGAGCTTAGCTGTGTGCACTGGAGTGGGTTTTATGGCAAAATGGCCAAAAGGCCGCCAAATGGGAGGTGGATGGGCCTGTCAGTCCTATCCCTAAGTCAGAGAAGGGGTATGAGTGACATTACTTTTGATACATTTGGTTATTCAGTAGTAAGGCTTATTCCCTCAAGAGGAAAGAGGTGAAAACATCCTTACCCATCACGGTAGGGGCTGAAAAGGGCTCTAATAGTAGACGGGTGGGCTGGGAGAGTTGCCAGTGTCAGGAATATGAACAGTATGACCTAGGCTCTGTTGACCAAGACATCATAAATATAAAACTGGATTAACCCTGAAAATACTTTGGTTTGCTCTTAAGATGATCAAAAGATCAAAGAAATACATCTTCAGATTTATCCGTCCCCTGGACTTTTGTGTGGTATGTGAAAGTGAAATGAACCCCCTGTGAAACTGGGGCCCCTCCAACCAAAGAATCCTCTCTGGTCCTCCGGGGAGGGAAATGGACGATGTTTTGTAGAAGTAACTTGGAAAAGGCTCCTGTAAAATGGTGTCAAATACCAAATGATGGCACACTGAAGGAATAATCCTAATGGGATTAGGCTTGTCAAGAGATTGATCACCAGTTCCTTATTAGGGCAAGGTAAAGGGCATTATGTAGAGCATCACTTCCTCTGTTGTGACTTTTTCCATCAGTCCCTTCTGGTTCATGGCATGCTTATGATCGCTTTTGCCCCAAATATAACTATATCTAAAGAAAAACGGAGATTTTAAAACCTGAAGTTCTTCATTTTAGGATTGTATAATTCTTCCATCAAAGCAAATGTTCTGCAAAGTGGGGCTTATGATCCTTAGGCAAACTGAGTTACTCCAATACAGTGGGAGGAGCAAGAAAAGAAAGTAGGGGCAGGAGGAAGAGGAATCCTCAACCCTGCTTTGGATTATTATGAAAACAAGTAGAAAATTTTAAAAGTTTAAGATCAAAAAAGAAGGCACCGAAGACGTTTATTAACAGATTAAAAGAGAAAGTAAAGTACAAAGTTTAAAAAAACAAAGAGCATAAGGGAGACAGAAAATAAAACACACCTAACATTTCAAATGAAGAAAACAAAGGCTAAAATAAAAATTTTTTAAATAAAAATGAAAAATATGGCTAGAAAATTAGAAAATATCTTCCTATCTCAATAAAATAAAAAAAAAATACACATTTTAAAGAAAGGTTGAAATAAAATAATACAAAAAGTAAAAGACATACAGACTAGACTAAGTTAAAATTAAAACCCACATGCATAAGGGAGAAATATATGAAAGTATGTAGGTGATGGGACTAAAAAGAAATGTCACAAAAAGCATAACCTATATTAAAAAAGTAGGGGAAAAAGGGAGGGAGGTAACGAGGCAGAGCACAGAGCAAAACGAAACAACAAATAGAAGCAGCTACGGGGTGAGGGTCCAAAAAAAAGTTCCTTTGGTGGTAGTAGGGGGTGCTCCTCAGAGGAAAAAAAGGAAAAAGGCAGAGAGCAAAGATGTTCTCTTCAAGCTTCCTTTCACCCAGAGGATCATATCCCTGAAGGCACTCTGAACCCCATATGAGAAAGTGTGGTGTGGTTTCCTAATGTGGCAAACATAAAGCTCAGCAGGTCCTGCCCAGACCATAGTGAACATCCTAAGTAAGTTTTATTGGAAAAGGTCACTTTTATAATAATTCCTTGTTCATTTCAGAAACACAATTTGGAAGTAAAATGAAGAGCAAACTCTTACTAAGTTATTTATTGCTTTTTAAAAAATATATAAATGAACATTTATAATACCAATTTGGATTTAATCTAATGTATTAACAAAAACATAATATACTAAACAAGGACTTCTAACTTACTGTATAACTCAATAAGTCTATCAAACACTTGGTTTTAGCCAGAGGCAACATCAGTCACTGCCACCTAATCCCATAAATTCATGCGGCTTCACATTTAAGGGGAAACTCAGCATAGGGATCTACCTGTACTTCCCCTTTAGAAATGCCCTGAAATGTGACATGCCCAGAGAAGAGGCTATAACAAGTTAGAGCTGAAATCAAAGTTCTACTTTCATTACCTTGGTGGGGGTATAAGGTGGAGGGAGTGTTATTTTCACCAGGTTACACGGAAGACAGTGTAACCATAAAACAGCCCAGGGTAAGATTTCAGCTGTGGAATGTGGCAAGCATAGTCATGTCCTAATTCCTTGAGATTTCAGAGTATCTCTGGTCACATGCCCACATTTAGAGATGAGAGAGATGCTAATGCTGTGCACTGGGTCTTCCTCAGATGCCACAGTGGCCTCTGTCCCAAGGTAACGGAAAAGATGGCTGTCTTTTCCTTAGAGGCTACTAGCTCAGTACCAGGAGTAGGAGATAGGGAGGTACTGTCAACTCCAAGAGAGTTGAGTCCACAATTTAATCCTACAATGGATGCATTAGGCTTTTTTTTTTTTAAACCTCAATGAGGCAATCACATTTTTGTACCTAAGAGACACTGCTTACTATTCTCTTGGGTTTGGCTACTCTGCTATTCTTGAAGACAAATTTAATTCCTTTTAAGTTACGATTAGCACTTAGGTCCTATAGTTAAACATATCTTCACACCATCCCCTGTTTTTGGCCTCCATATAGACAGATGCATTGCACTGCTGCATGGTATATTCCATCTCAACCAGCTGGTGGCATCCAATGGTTAACTTTTCCCTAGGGGAAAAAGAAATGTTAAATAATTGCAAGACAGCTGGTCAGATAAGTAATAAATCTTGATACAACAGGATAACACTGGAATTTGAAATACATTCGTTGATATTTGAGAAATAAAATACCAACAAGAATGGTTTCTTAGCATAGATAAAACAACATGGGAGGGAAAGCACTTAATTGCAGATTCTTGGTGAAGATCTTGGCACAATTTGTAGAATTCAGGAATAAGGGTTCCCACGGCAGACCTGCTGCCGACCAGCAAAGTTGGATGCTTAAAAATAGACCTTGGTATGGTGGGCCAGGTTGAACAATCTAATTCTACTCTACTTTCTGAAGGACTCTCCCAGGAGGAGATGGGCTAATGTTGAATTGTTCTAATCTATGAGGTAAGCAACACTGTGGAATAGATGGTTTATCTTATCTGGTTTGAGAGTTAAAGAAGAGAGAGACTGGGAGCTACTAAGAGAATATACTTCCTGCCAGGAACATATACTCAAAGGGGACAGGAAGTTGACAGAACTTCAGCTCTTTAAAAAGGACTGCTAGTATAAGTTACCTAGTAGTAAACAAATTAGTATTAGTTGATAACCACAAACCAAGGGTAGGGAAGGAGGGAGTAATACCTAACTATGGCAAGCCTACTTCACAACTCTATCTAACGCAAAGCCTAGCTGGTCTCTCAATAGCTAACACGGGGCCTACAAACTGGGATCAGTTAGAGCACCAGTCCACAAAATCTCATGGATACCTACTTGAACCTACGAGAAGATGGTCTGTATCTAGCATCTAGTATAATATATGCCACACTAGGTGTTTAACAAAAGGCAGATGTTTTTATTATTACAATTGTTATTACATCCTTGGCTTCTAAGATGACTTTAAACATCTCCATGATGTCGGAAAGGTCCACTAGCTACCTCTCCCCATTGCTCCTACACAGTGGAATCCTTGATGTAGGGTACAAAGGGAAAACAAGGCAACCAGAACTCGGGAGACAGAATTTAGAGATAGTCGTGACAGCAAAAAGTAAGTACACCATATTCTGTGTGACCTCACTTCCTGAGGATGTGTGGTCTCTCTGAGGCTGGTGATTAAAACCTGACTTCTGGCTTTGTGTCACCATCATCCTGTTTCCCATCTTTAGAGAGCTTGAAGCTAGTGTTCTGTTGCTGCCACTTTTTGATAACTACTCAGAAAATGATTTTTGGAAGACACTTCTAAGAGATACAAAATAGCAGGGAAATGTTTTATTGAAAACTTAAAAATGAAACAACAATAACAAAAAAGGGCAGGCCCCTATTCCTGTCCTTGGTCATCTATTCCACATGTGCACAAAGCTACTTCAGTAATCAGACTTCTGAATCTATTTCTGCGTATTCTCTCTCTCTCCACAGTTCAGAAGTGAGCTTTGACTTTCTTTCATCCTAGTGGAGTTTGGTTACTTTATTCGTGAGAGGCAGTAGTCTGACAATAGATTATTACCTACAGGTTTTGTTTCCGGCAGCAAGTTCTGTCACTGCTGACTGAGGAAAGTACCATGTGTTTTTCATCATGTTTGTCTGGACTACACTTTTATTAAATCATGATGTTCTTGAGTTCTTCACCCGCCCCCCCCCGCCCCGGTTATGTGCAGAATAGCAGGATATTACATGTGGGAGGCACCTTAACATCTCTGCCTGCCATTCTGGAGCATCTCCAGAGAGTCATTGCACCTTGGCCTTGACCTCTTGGTGATGGGACACTTACAACTGTGAGAGGTAGTCCATTACATTTTTTGATACCTCTTAATTGCTAGGAAGCTCTTCCTTTATACTGAGCCTGTAACAACCATCTATCTGACCTTAGTCTGCCTAGAATAAAACAAGACAAAAAGTCTTTATCCCTTATTCGCCTAATAGTACAAATATTTTATGTCTCTAATTGTGTTCCTATTTCTCTTTTCCAAGTGAAATGACCCCAACACTTAATTCTTTCTGCTACAGAACCCAAGACTGAAGGCTGCTTCTAGTTCTGCAATTCTATTTCTGGTGAGATTTCTGTAAAACAACAGCCACAGTTTCCTTCAAAAAGAATAGTTATGTACTGTTAAAGTAATGTTTTCTCACATTGAAGTCACATAAATAAAGGAGATCAACTAATCTATCATGGTGTCCGATGATATAATAGTACCAGTATAGGAAAGAATTGGCTGTCCTCAACACAAATAATAAATGTAGTTAACAGTTGTCTGGAATATTGCAAAAATAAATGACTTGCATTACCATTGTGCAAGGATGCCATGCAACTTCTTGTTTATGTTTTATGTCTGTATGCATACAATGTCCTGCCTGAGTCCATAAAGGATTGAGTTTGCATTTTTAACACTTTTTAAAGTTGGAATTCCTTAAAGACAAGGTGTTTCGCCCTTAAGGAAACTAAATAAACATACATGAAAGAATGTGAGTCTGTCAATACAGATGGAACTAGGGGAAAAAAAGGACTATTAATCCCAACTTATTTTTTTTCTAGTTCCATCTGTATTGATAGGCTCACATTCTTTTTTATTTTATTTATTTATTTTTTAATTGTACTTCAGGTGAAGGCTTACAGAACAAATAGTTTCTCATGAAACAGAAGTACATATGTTGTTTTATAACATTGGTTAACAACCCCACAACATATCAACCCTCTAACTTCTCAACCTTTTTTTTGTTTGGTGAAAATACATATAGCCAAAGATACACCATTTCAAAAATTTCTACATGCACAGTTCAGTGACATTGACTATTCTCTTCGAATTGTGCTGTTATTCTCACTTAAGATGAAGGCTTACAGAACAAGACAGTTCCTCATTTAACAGTTACTACAAATGTTGCCCTATGACAATGGTTAACAATCTCACAACACATCAACAATATCCTTACTCAACCTTGGGTTCCCTATCACCAGCTTCCTTGTCCCCTTCTGCTTTCTGGCCCTTGTCACTGGACTCCTGTACCTCATTAGTCTCATTTGGTTTTACGGGGCTGTCCACTCCCAGGCTGAACGGTGAACCTCCGAGGTAACTTCACCACTGAGCTAAAAGGGTGTCTAGGGGCCGTACTCTCGGGGTTTCTCCAGTCTCCTTTAGGCCAGTAAATCTGGTCTTTTTTTGGTGAGTTAGAATTATGCTCTACATCCTTTTCCAGTTCTGTCCAGAACCCTCTGTTGTGATCCTGGTCAGAGCAGTCAGTGGTGGTAGCCGGGCACCATCTAGCTGTACTGGACTCAGTCCGGTGGAGGCCTTGGTAGCTGTGGACAATTAGTCCTTCGGACTAATCTTTTCCTTGTATCCTGTTCTCTTCATTCTCCCTTGCTCCCCAAGGGATGAGACCAGTGGAGTATCTTAGATAGCCGCTCACAGGCTTTTAAGACCCCAGACACTACTCACCAAGGTAGAATGTAGAGCATTGTCTTTATAAGCTGTGTCATGCCAATTGAGCTAGATGTTCCCCGAGACCATGGTCCCCAGCAGGCTCACATTCTTTCATGTATGTTTATTTAGTTTCCTTCAGGGCAAAACACCTCGTCTTTGTCCCTTCTTAACCTCTCCATATTCGCTTTATTAGATATTAGGTGTATCATTCTGCAGCACACAGAGGCACTTAAAGGTGTTTGTGCATCAATTAAAGGAGACTTCAAAACGTATCCCTTGAGAGCCAGTTGGTAATGCACAGGAAAGAAGGGGTGTGGGTCAGAATCCCTGTGATTCCTATAGCTGGACTGGAGTAAACTAAGAAACCTCTCAGACAAGTGGGAATTTCACCAACTCCTAGAATAAGAAGAACCTTAATTTGTTTAGTTCATTCCTCTTCCGTCTGGCAGAAGTAAACTGAAACCATCTTTCTATTTTGAAAAATTTGGAGAGCACTGAACAGTCAAGACATCTGAGTTTATAACCACAGCCCAACTACTAAATTGCAGTTATAGCTTGAGAAATTACCATCTATAGGCCTGTTTCTGCAAAATAAAGAAGTTCAGTTAGAAAATGTTTCTTAGGGAACTTCTTTTTTTTTTTTCTTTATTATTGTACTTTAGCTGAAGGTTTACAGAACTCACTACCTTCTCATTAAACAATTAGTACACATATTTTCTGACATTGGTTACCAACCCCACGACATGTCAACACTCTCCCTTCCCAACCTTGGGTTCCCTATTACCAGCTTTCCTGTCCCCTTCTGCGTTCTAGTCCCTGCCCCTGGGCTGGTGTGTCCCTTTAGAATAGTTTTGTTTTATGGGCCTGTCTAATCTTTGGCTGACGGGTGAACCTCAGGAGTTACTTCATTACTGAGCTTAAAAGGTATCCAGGATCTTAGGGAACTTCTAATTCAAATTGTTATGTTTCCAGAAAGTAATCCAACCTAACGTTCATAGTTTCAACATTTTAACTTTCTGCATGTGGCCCTTGAGGCTCAAGGGAAAAGCACATGTATTACTTGAGTATATAGTTCAAAGACATGAATGTTTTTAAAAAAATAAATAATAAACATGAATTTTCCTTTTATTCCAAGAGTGAAACCAGCATTAAGGCAGTGTCTGAGAGAACTAAGAAACGATGACAGGTAAAGTCAATATGAGAGCTACATAAAACACAACACCACAAAAAGCTGAGAGCAACAGAATGCTAAACACCATGAAGTTACTAGAAATGGTTCTTAAAGTTGACCTAGAGTCTTCCAGATCAACTCAATTTTTAAAAATCACATTTGAAACCATATTCTAAAGCAGATCTGTACACAGGTATATTATTTCACTTCTGCAAAACTGGATTGCAGTAAACCCTAACACGTTAATAAAACAAAGATATAATAGATTGATTCTAAGCGTAAGGAAAGCAGAAGATTGAAACAATCCAAGTTAATCCATATGAAAATGCTGTGTTTCAGTTTCCTTCTAACTCTAGAATAACTTTAGTCACTAAGGAAGTTGAACATAACATAAAGTGACAATGTATTTCATCCCTCCTTTCTTCTCTAAATTGA